GTCCATAGAAAATGAAGTGTGATAATTGTTATTCAGCCACTCATTTGGTTTGTTTTCTATTTTTGTAACTATCATTTGGTGCCTCAAGACTTCTAGCTTTCCTTTCCCTTGTCATCTGAATCTGAATTTCTTTGCAGTTTGGGTTTTTCTGGGATGGTATTTTACAGACACATGAATACTGGAATAGGATACCTTCCTTTAGTGATATAGGCTTCTAAACAGTATTTAGAATGATGTTTGGTGCTCTGCAGTCTCCCATCTCGGCAGCTAAATACATTCTGCAAAGACCATTACCTTAGTTGACCTGGTGTTCATCCTCCCTAGCTGTTTATACAGAGCCACAAGGTCAAAGTATGAATCCCATTGGTTGCAATCTATAAGGTGTGGGATTGCTGTTCTAGCAACTTACTTTAATGGCAAATTTTTAAACACATCTATGCACACACACACGCACATACACACACGCACACACACAAACACTCATGCACACGCACGCACACGTACACACACGCACACACACACACACACACTTACACACACACACACACTTACGCACACACACACACACACACACACACACCACACACACACACACCACACACACACACACACACACCACACACACACACACACACCACACACACACACACCACACACACACACACCACACACACACACACACCACACACACACACACACACACACACCACACACACACACACCACACACACACACACCACACACACACACACACACACCACACACACACACACACACACACCACACACACACACACACACCACACACACACACACCACACACACACACACGTGTACACACACACACACACACACACACACACACACACACACCACACACACACACACCACACACACACACACCACACACACACACACCACACACACACACACACACACCACACACACACACACCACACACACACACACCACACACACACACACACACACACACACACACACACACGCGCACACACACACACACACACACACACACACATTAATATACATACATACTCACATATACACATATACATACATACATACATCTAATTGCCTTACCAGTGCCTATTGAAGATGAGCCTTTTTTAACCCAAAGTCTCTGGGAAAATGTTGTGTTCCCTGTAATATTGTTTTGTGAAATGCATAGCCATAAGGAAGTCAATTAGTAGACCATGTGACCTCACCTGATTTTGCCTTTCCCTGAGTTTGAGGGAAAACTATTTTTTTTTATAATGCTTGACTATCAATTTTGATGCTGTTATTTTTATTATAGACATTATAATTACTAAAGTGTTATTTACTGCAATATTTGATACCAAAACATACTTTCAGAAATCAATGAAAAAGGTAAACAGGTGAGACTGGTACTACTCATAATTGGCTCATTAGTGTCTTAGTACTTGTGGAGCTGTATATGTGTAAAAACAATAAATATATTTAACTCCTAGTGGACATGGCATGTATATACATGCCATCCCCATAGGCTTCAGGTTAACCTAGGGAAATTTGTGGCAGCTCATGGAGATGTCCACATTGGCAACTGCCCCCCCTCCAACATACATACACATGCATACATCCATGTACATACAAACTATACTCATATGAGGCCAGGCTGTCAGCACTAAATATGTCAAGTTTCCATACCTTTCCCTTTATACCAAATCTGAAAGACAGAAAAGCCTATTTCTGCTAAGCTGGCAGAACCACTTCAATATTGTTGACTGTTACTCTAATACACATTACTTCATATAAACTGTGTAAAGACTGTTTGATACAGCTAGAGCATAGTCAAAATATTTAGTCATAGAGCTCATAACTGCTTAGGACTGGAACTGCACATGGGTGTCAATTTTTGTCAGTTTACCAGAGAGAGGAAAAATGCTGCAATGCCTACAGATGAAGAAAAAATAGTGGTAAAGACATAAAAAAAAGAGAGTGAATACAAACAAATAAAAAGAAGAAAAAAAGAAGTGTTAGTGAGGGAGGTTGTAGCCACAAGCTCACTGATATTATACTTAGATATTAGCATCATCTGCATACCTATTTATAACTAAATAAGATAAACTACCCCCCCCCCCCCCAATAATGTACAAGTGACAATATATGGGTGTTGACACCCACACACATGCAAAATGCAGATACAGACCTATCCATATGAATAATCCTGTCTCCATATGCATATTTTTTTGTAAATATATGCATTTTAGGTAAAGTACAATTGGACACACAAGTACTCTCAGTTCTGAATGTGTGTAACTCAATACATTCTAGATATTTAAGTAAACACCCAGCCACTTGACAAATCAATTATGCACACACAAGGAGGACTGGCATAGGATTGAATATGAAAGGAGGCTTACTTTAAAATAAAAATTGAAATGGTTAGGTGAAACCAGTCTTCAGAATTATGGTTACATTTCCTGTTTTTTCTTTTCCAATCTTGGGCTTTTGGGGCTTCTGAGTTGGTATCTTTTTGTGTGTCTAAAATGCTTAAAACTGTCAGGGTTTTAATTAGTATTTATTCACAACTTTTATCACTTTCAGGTGTAACAATTGTATTATCAGAAGTGAATACTAGGTCCTCACTTTTCTCACCATATTTTCAACTGATGAATATAAGGGCATCAATCATTATTTGATATTCTACATAATGTAATTGAGACAATCAATATCCATACTAATATTTATTTTGAAAACAACCGCTTCAGTTGGATGAAGGCACTCATATTTCTTCTTCAAAAGAATGGTATAGAAAGTGCAGACCCCATTCATGAAGCCAATATCTGAAATTAAAGGGACTGCAGAAATGTACAAGAGGACACACTTGAACGTTGGAAATATAATTTATTAGGATAAACAGTTAAATTACTATGCAAAATGGTAGGATGAAAATGTACGTCAAAGCAGAATTCAAATTCATCTTTACATAATATTACCTTACTGTGAAAAGCTATCATCAATGAGAGAGAGAAAGAGAGAGAGAGAGAGAGATTAAAATAAAAATTGAAATGGTTAGGTGAAACCAGTCTTCAGAATTATGGTTACATTTCCTGTTTTTTCTTTTCCAATCTTGGGCTTTTGGGGCTTCTGAGTTGGTATCTTTTTGTGTGTCTAAAATGCTTAAAACTGTCAGGGTTTTAATTAGTATTTATTCACAACTTTTATCACTTTCAGGTGTAACAATTGTATTATCAGAAGTGAATACTAGGTCCTCACTTTTCTCACCATATTTTCAACTGATGAATATAAGGGCATCAATCATTATTTGATATTCTACATAATGTAATTGAGACAATCAATATCCATACTAATATTTATTTTGAAAACAACCGCTTCAGTTGGATGAAGGCACTCATATTTCTTCTTCAAAAGAATGGTATAGAAAGTGCAGACCCCATTCATGAAGCCAATATCTGAAATTAAAGGGACTGCAGAAATGTACAAGAGGACACACTTGAACGTTGGAAATATAATTTATTAGGATAAACAGTAGAGAGAGAAAGAAAAGAAAAGAAGAAAAAAAATCTGATAATGTGTAGATGGACTATACATATTCCTCCAATGGTACTTGACAAATGATTATTCAATATAAAAAATTGGCTTAAAGTAAACAATATGCTCTTCACTATAAGTTTTATTCCCCGCCTTTGGACCCTATACACGATATGATATAGTTATAATGACAATGTCGTACACATAGTGGTATCCTCATACTGCACTTAA